AAAATTATCTATCAGGATAATATAATATATGTTAAATTGCAAAAATGTCATCTCATATTGTTTAGTCCCATATAATTTGGAAGTTTATGACCAGTCAATAAAGCTCTCGCCATGATTTTCTCGTTTTTTCTCTTCCTTTATATTTATTAACAAAAGGATCTGCATAAATTTAGCCAATCAAATTTTCTTTTAAAGAAATTCCAGAACGTTTATCATTTATAAATTAGGAAATACCAAATTTAGCATATTCCCTGACTGGTATAACGGGATAAATAGTGAGTGACATTATAACGGGCATAAATTTGTATTTATAAATTTGGTTTTTAAAAAAATGTCATTATAACAAGATTTTCATTATAACGAATGTCATTATAACGGGAGTGACTTGTATTTAATTGACAGTTGCCAACACTGGAAAAGATCGACAATTTTTATTAATGATTCCACAAACATTTTTCGTCATTAATCCTCAAGATTTCATCATCTTAATCATAAATAACGTTATTTGAGCAGTAATTTATTTAGAAAAAAAAAATAAGGTTAACTTGAAAGTGACAATTTTATTTTTTTGTTATTATTATTATTATCATAATAATAAATATATATTTTAATTATGGTAACGATCAATTGTTTTTTATCAGCTCGTGTGTGTGAGTAATATTATGTGCAAGTATTTATTTTATTATTATGAATAATATATATTTTTATCTATATATCTATCTATATCTATACATATTTACCATATATTATGATTATATATATTCATTAATAATAAAATGTCTACCAACAAATAACATCTTTGATCGACAATTTTCACATATATTGCTAAAACATTGCTAATAATAATATTGTATAACACTACAATTATTATTTGCCGTTTCTTGTAGCAAAGAAATTGCCAAGAATTAATTCTTCGATCCAGTCCATATTACCACACTCCATCACTTGTTTCATATTTTCAGTGTCTCGTATCTTTGTCCAATTCTCTATTGCAAATTCCAAGCCTGCTATTCGTAACCTGTCGTCTTGAAACCTCCATCCCAACATTAATATTTGATCCCAATTACCACTATTTATCAATCCAACCATCCTTTCTGCTGCCATTGATCCAAGCTGTGAAATGTTTAACATGTCTGCTTTAGAATAAATCTCTCTCAACAGCTCAAACGTTAAGCCATCCTCAAGTTTATTCGTGTAAAGATGATGAACTATCAACCTGAACGCTTCGTATGGCATATCTCTAATAGCAATCGTTTTCAGTTAAATTACAAAAATGTCATCTTATATTGCTTAGTCCTATAATTTGGTAGTTATATGAATGGTCAATAAAACTCTCATAATGACTTTCTTGTTTTCTTTAAAGATTATTCAACAAAAGGACCTGCATAAATTTAGCCAATCAAATTTTCTTTTAAAGAAATTCCAGAACGTTTATCATTTATAAATTAGGAAATACCAAATTTAGCATATTCCCTGACTGGTATAACGGGATAAATAGTGAGTGACATTATAACGGGCATAAATTTGTATTTATAAATTTGGTTTTTAAAAAAATGTCATTATAACAAGATTTTCATTATAACGAATGTCATTATAACGGGAGTGACTTGTATTTAATTGACAGTTGCCAACACTGGAAAAGATCGACAATTTTTATTAATGATTCCACAAACATTTTTCGTCATTAATCCTCAAGATTTCATCATCTTAATCATAAATAACGTTATTTGAGCAGTAATTTATTTAGAAAAAAAAAATAAGGTTAACTTGAAAGTGACAATTTTATTTTTTTGTTATTATTATTATTATCATAATAATAAATATATATTTTAATTATGGTAACGATCAATTGTTTTTTATCAGCTCGTGTGTGTGAGTAATATTATGTGCAAGTATTTATTTTATTATTATGAATAATATATATTTTTATCTATATATCTATCTATATCTATACATATTTACCATATATTATGATTATATATATTCATTAATAATAAAATGTCTACCAACAAATAACATCTTTGATCGACAATTTTCACATATATTGCTAAAACATTGCTAATAATAATATTGTATAACACTACAATTATTATTTGCCGTTTCTTGTAGCAAAGAAATTGCCAAGAATTAATTCTTCGATCCAGTCCATATTACCACACTCCATCACTTGTTTCATATTTTCAGTGTCTCGTATCTTTGTCCAATTCTCTATTGCAAATTCCAAGCCTGCTATTCGTAACCTGTCGTCTTGAAACCTCCATCCCAACATTAATATTTGATCCCAATTACCACTATTTATCAATCCAACCATCCTTTCTGCTGCCATTGATCCAAGCTGTGAAATGTTTAACATGTCTGCTTTAGAATAAATCTCTCTCAACAGCTCAAACGTTAAGCCATCCTCAAGTTTATTCGTGTAAAGATGATGAACTATCAACCTGAACGCTTCGTATGGCATATCTCTAATAGCAATCGTTTTCATGTGACCTTCCTTCCATTCTCCTCCCAACAAATTCTCAAAATATGCAGATCTCGCTGCCAATATCACACGATGTGCCTTCATCACTGATCCACAATCGAACACAAACTCTATATCATAAAATTTTTCCTCTTCAAAATACTTTTCAAATGGTTCCAGTGAAAGATCAGGTATGTTCGCGATCGAACTCGTTCCCTCACCGGTTGGAAGATCATCGAATATTTGCACCTTGACCAGTAAATCCATTTCCGGATATAAATTTTCACTTGGGAATAAATCTTTTAACGCAATAATTCTTGCAAATCCATAATCTGCATTCACGCCATTAAACTCAAACTTTGTTTCCAACGTATGTCGACTAATAACTAATAATGGACTTTGTTGTTGTAGTTGTTGTAATGAAGGGTGTGATTGTATCTGTTTAGATTGCAATTGTTGTAATGACAACTGTTGTGGATTATTATTGTTATTAGGATCAATACGAAAAAGTGACAACCTGAACTTTTTGTGTCTACCTCCTATACCATTTTCCTTCTCGTATTGTGTTTGAATAGCTTCAAGATAAAGTGACAAATAGTCATTAGATTTCTTATCTACTCCATTAGGAAACATTTTTAACCTCCATAAATAACAGGTATTGTTATAATTATTGGTTTGCCCACATAAAACATTATTATCATTAACTGCTGTAGTTGTATTTGTTGTTGATACAGCTGCTGCTGCTGAGGTTTTACCTGGTTGTCCCCTTGGCGACCAAAACCTTTCACTATAAAAAAATGTTCCATTCGGATGTCTTACTACTAACTCATTAAAACAGTTGATTCTCCAAGAAAATGTAAAAAAACTGTCAGAAGTAGACATTTTATCTATATTAAAAAAGTAGTTTTTTTTATTAATAAACTGAAAAAATTTTTTTTGATTACAGATTCTCTTTTTTCATGTAACTGGTTGTAATGGTTGTAAGGAGAAAAAAAAATAGTTTAGAAAAAAAAATTAGTTTCTTACACAACATATATTTTAATTTAAATTTCAATTATATCACGTGTGTTTTTTTAGATGTAGTTTATACACACGTTCTATTACTTTTTGCGATAAGCTTTAAATTATTAATATAAACGATTTACAAACAACAATTTCTATATTTGGGTTTAGAAAAACAATTCCAATAAAAAAAGAATCAAGAATGTTGGTGTAAATGTAAATCTGAACGTAATCGTAAATGGATCGGGATCGATTTCCTTCATTCTTCATTTCTTCTATCTTTCTTCTTTCCTTTCCTCCTTTCTTTATTTTTGGTATATTTTTATTATTATTATTATTGCATCATTTATTGTATGATGACGTTCACGTGTAACATCAATGAATTTTTATTGGTTGGAATCATTCTTGTTTCTTTTATAACCTTATCATTAAATTATAATGATTATGGTTGTATCCGTTGATTATCAGATGTTTGAGTATTTGGTCAATCAATAATAATAAAATCCAACACTTGGATAATTGGTCAAATTAAAAATTTTTAGCATCAGAATAATCGGTGATTACTATTGCTATTACTCGATTATTCACCGAATATCCGCTGAATAAGGCTTCGAACGAATCAATGAAACTAATTTTTGATTCGAACCTAATTCAAATATACACCGTATGAAATCATTTGAATTCTGGATAAGAGAGTTGCCTTTGGAAATAAATGGTTAAAAAAATATTTACCTAGCGCAATAATTGCATTTAGCTTTTTTATAAATTTTTAATTAAACGGTTGATCGAGTGTTATTTCGCTTGGTCAATCAGTGACAACAAAAGAGGCTAGGTCATATGTCCAGGCGGCACTTTGATAAATCCATTTTTACTTGAAATAATAAGTTTTTTAATAAAAACGCTAGGGGAAGTGAAATTTTACATGCGTAATTTGACGAACCTAGGCTATGAAATGTTATTTTTTTAATTTTTATTCACACATTACACGTTGATATGATAAAAGAAATCGAAGAATTTCAAAACAATTATAGAAAGACTGGTTGAATTCAGACTTTTCATTTAGTAAAATATCATTGAAATTCATGGGTTACCTGGAGATGACAATGGAATTGTTACCTCCACAATAAAAAAAATTTTACCAACAAAAAAAACCAAATCCTAAGAAGTAATCCATGGGCTGATTAACAAAGAAAAGAACAAAGAAGAAGATGATGACGATAGTGAAAACAAAGAAGATATTAATATTATCAATAATAATAATAGTAATAGTGAAAGTTGGATTTTGTCAGGGTGTCCAAAGAATAGGTCGTATTCACGATTGCTTTGGGTCCGAGTATTCTCTTCCCATGCAAATGGTCAGGCAGCTTTTTATCCGATACTTTTATTATGTATTTTCAATAAGTTATTCTATACTCGAAATAAATAAAACATGACCTATCCTTTTATTGTTATTTAATCCATTTCTTGAATATAAATATCCTCGATTCCACCATTTCATCATTACAATGCTAAATAATTGCATCACCCGAGTAATGGGAACACATTAGGAAATTTTTCCTGCAATAATATCGCCCTTGTAAGATTTAATATTAATATATAAGGAGGGGTATTATCACAACAAAAAACAGTGTTACGAGCTTTAAATAATCAATTCGTTATAGCAATGCCAAGAATTCGTTAAACGCCTTGCATTTTTTTGAAAATGACCCAAAAACAGTAAGCTATAAGCGTGATTGTTCCGACCATTGATGGTAGAGGGCTAAATCCAGCCCACTCTCTCGCAACGTATCCATTCTAACTATATTAATTGCAACAAATTCTTTTTTTTTTTAATATTAAGCAATTTACATAGAGATAATTTATATGTAAGCATAACAAGTGAAAAAGAATTGGAAGGCATTGATGAGGTTAGGAATAAGAGAGCGAAATTAACCGTGTGCTTATTACACATCGAGACCAGATCTGCAAATAGTTGAAACAGTTTCGGTCTCATGTATATTAATAGTGACAGTACTTATGAACCATGGAAAAAATGAATTGGAGAGAATTACAGAAAGATATCAAAAAGTTAAGGGAATTAGGAATAATGATTAAAAAATAGGCAAACGGGAGAAATTAAACAAAGGCATTTGATTCTTTTGGTTAAAAATGACGTTTTATTTGAAAGTGCTTTTGGTAGCGAATTCTCAATTTCAAATCAGAATGCTTATTTTTTTATATGGCAAAGGAGTATTCACCTCTTTCTTTACTTTTAGAATGAATATTTTTGTGTAAAAATAATTTAATACACCTTTGTAATTATGAAATGTCGTTAAAAGTTCAGAATCTGATATTTGTTGGAATATATATAATTGCGCATATGGAATATTCATCTGAAATATCTTTATTTCATTTCTGCAAAAAAGAATTATATTTAAAACTGTTTATTAATATATATATTATTATTATACAATTAATAAAAGGTATTCACCGGTCACAATTAATACATAAACTTTAATTTGCTTCAAGAAATCTCTTCGAGCATATCAAATAACAAATTTCTTCTTTGGAATCAGTATTTCCGTGTCACTTATAAAAAATTTTGCGACTATGTCTTCAATTAAAAATTCCTCGTTTCTGTTGTTTTTATTGGAATCATTTCGTTTTTGCAGAAAGAACTCGTGATTTAAATTTTTTTTTTAAAAATCATTCTTCATCATTTATCATTGTTTCAGAGTCATAAATTGTTTCATTTAATGGATTGTCACCTTAAAACAATCCGATCGTATACGGATTGACGGATAGCTTTTTTATAGACTAGTACTAAGATTGACAGATCACGAATTGAAATTTATCCAATGGTGAAAAAATCGTGATCAAAAATCGTCATATTGCTACGGGAATGGTAAAAAATCACATTTTTTTGAAATGTAACTAGTCAATGAAAAAGAAAGTCATTATTTCCATTTTTGAATACGGTGTAGTATAATCTCTCTAGTTTATCGGTACAGAGAGATTTTTGAGAGTAAGAAACACCAATGGTGAAAAAATCATGATCAAAAATGTAATGGGTATAATAAAAAATCTCATTTTCAAATGCTACTAGTCCGTGGAAAAGGAAGATATTATTCATTTTTTGAATATATCTCTAGTTTATCGGTATAGTGAGATTTTGGGGACAAGAAATACAAACGATAAAAAAGTCATGATTAAAGACAAATGGGATACGGAAACCAACCTTCGAGACAAAAAATCTCAACCCTTATAAATTTGGTTTACGCGTATGTTTTTAAAGAAAATGTTGTCTCATTTTTCTACTATGCAAACAGGGTCAAATTTTTTCACAAATTACAAATCCTTGTATTATAGCTCATTATTGTAGTATTGAGTGAAAAACTCAAACCCATCTGAAAGGTCAATTTTCCTAGTACAGACCCAAATACTTGTCTTTTTGGCATAGTTTGGTTTTCATTTCCTTTTCATTGTTTTTTAGTCTTAATTGAAAATTTTATATTAGAAAATAAGAATTTTAAAGTACTTACATAAATAAATAAATAAATAATTCATAATTGACTCAAGATCATGTAATACACTATTAGGAATTATTCTATGAATGCGGTATTTCTTTACAGCATATTCTACAGCATTCATAGATAATCCTTGTCTACATGCATCCATGTACCTGAAGGATCTGTGTGCAAATTTTCTAATGGTAGAAAGAGGAATAGATTTTAAAGCTCATTATATAACCCATTTTTATAAGTATATTCCCAACTTTTTAAGCCATCTTGTTGCAGTTTTTTCAGATATTTTTTTATTTTCGTTTTCTATTCCTATGCTGGGCAATATTGTATTGTTGATATGTTCACGTAATTTCTTTTGATATCATATCAAATTTATTAGATCGTGCATAACTTCTTATTTGAGCGGCATCATCTTCATGATTCCAAAGACTTTTCGTTTTTGGATAATATTTTATTTTGGATCCCTTTATAAATTTTTGTTCACCCTAGAGATACTGCCACAAATTCACTCGCTTCAACCTTTTCTTATCATCATCTAAATGTCTAAAATACATTTCAATTGCCATTAATCTAGATTTTACGTCATTGGTTAAATTGGGGTTTCAAGAGCTTGTTCAACGGAATTTATTGCTTTTTTCCAGTCATCTTCAAGATTGATACCATCATCATCTGCTGGCTGATCATTAATTTCGTTTACATTTCTACCGGAAGCTTTAACATTAAAAAATCGATAATTTTGGAAGATCCAACTGCAGCTTCTTTCAACGCTTTGGCATGTCGTTGTTGTGTTCATGCTGAATTAGATAAACAGATCTGCTTTTTATTGAAATGTCATGCACAAAGGTAAACTTTAACTTCAGATCCATCTTCATTCCTTCCAACGTCACAGGTATTATCTACATATGTTGGATCACTGCTTCTTCTTTTTTATCTTGGGCTGGTTTTGTGATTTGAATTTGTCTTTTGTTAGGTCTACCCATTTTAAGGTAATTAAATTATTTACATTAAGAAAATGTTTAAATCGGAAATTTGTATAATAATAATAATAAAAACACACATCTAAATTGCACAAAAAAAATAAAGGTTTTGATGATAAATAAATAAAATTTATTATTATTAAGGTATTTCATTGTTTGCATCTTGCATTTTTAATATACTACGTGAATTAATTAATCTATTTTTTAAAAAATAGTATGAACTTGGAAACTATTCTAGATAATAATAATAATAATAGTATTAACAATAATAATGGTAATAATGGTAATAACAATACTATTAATATTAATATTGAAAATAATACCAAAAGTGTTTGTAGGTAGAGTGAACCTCCAATAAAAAGTTTGCTTTCTTTTTTGGAAGGGAGAAAATCTGAATTAGAATCTCTCAAAAGACATAAATTTAAAACGGGATCTACAAACCTAATTGAAAAAAATAAAAAAATCGTTTGTGAGTACCCCAACTCAAATATAACTCCAACTCATTTCTACCCATTTGCAAATATTGCTTTAACAAAATATAAATCTCAAGTGTTACATGCATAATCTAATGTTTATTGCCGCATAAATCCGGCGTCTTTTCGGCCCCCTTTCTAAATTAGCTATAGGAAGAAATGATCACCGTACAATGTTCAAACAAACTTAAAAGGAAACTCATGCATATAATTACTTTTTTAAATTTTTTTAAGAGAAAATGGTCGCAATTAACGAAATCCTCAAAAAAAGTATGCAAAATTTCTCCAAGTTACTTTAATAAAATTAAAACCAATTCATAGCATAAACTAAAGAAACTTTGACTCTCTTGTATAATAGGCATAATTGATAGTATAAAGTCTGTTCAACCAGCTGGTAGCTGGAAAGTGGTGGTTGT